TGGTGACATGTTGACTTGCCACCTGGTTAAAAGCTGTGGGCTGTAGGTGAGGTTGGGAGCCATCCTGCAGACCTCATTTTGGAAGTCTTTGAAGGATTTCTCTTTCCGGTGACTTTCACACCCCTCTTCCCCCTTTCTGAAAGGTCAGAGGGTAATTTACAAATCTGCACTTCATGCAGCAAATTTGGTTTTCTCCACATTAGTAGAAAATAAGCATTTTTTACATAGTCCTTTTTTATATTGGAAAATGTCTGTTCTACCTCAATCGGATACTGAATTGCCTCAATCTTTCTTCAACTATTTTCTGAAAACTTTGTCGAAATCTGTCCTTGAATCGCTCTGTAACACATATGACTGAAGTTATTAATTCTAATTAACATGTTAAGTCTAACCTTCTAAACCTCTAAATGTTAATTTGTAAATAAACATATCTAATATATCATGTAAATAGCTGATGCAAACTTTTAGCAGAATTCTAAAAACAACTGAGTTTGGAAAACTGATATAAATCCAGGCAAAGTTGTGCTTACATCAAAAGTTGTTTAGCAATGTGAAGATAACTAATAGGTTGTCTCCCTTGTTAGCAAATGAGAAATCAACTCTTTTCTAACCCTTAAGAGTTTGGATGAAAGGGCTCAAAGGGGTAATGGAAGAATGAACTTCTAAGGCCACGAGAATTGTTGCACTGTGCATGAAATAAAACATCTGGTATAGCACATCAGTGTATTTTTGTAAGTTCATACTTTGACATTTCAAATATAGCTTTAGGATTCCTTAAGTAAGGATATGTGAGAGAGTGCCACATTGCAGAAGGCCTTGTAGGATAATTTATTGCTCAAGTCTGGTTTTGTGTAAGAATGACTCCATGAGTTTTGTTTTGCGATATTTTGCAGTGCCGTGCTATAAAAGGTGTAAGCAGATGGAGTACTCGGATGAGCAGGAAGCAATTATAGAAGAAGATGATGGTGATGGGGGATGGGTAGACACTTTTCACAATGCAGGTATTCCAAGTCTTGCTTCAGGCTTTGCCTTTGGTAATCTGATTGTCAGTTTCTATTCTTAGAAAGTAAAATCTTTCTTATATGTAGATGACTGTGTACCGATATCCCATCTGGAAGAAATAAGTTATGTTGTCAGCTACCCCTTGACTGGTACATGACTGCTCAGGTGTTTAACTGTGTGGCTGTATATGCCTGAAACAGTCCACTTGTAAAGTAAATCATTTCAGTATTCTC